GAAACGTTTAAACGTTTCTGTTTCACCTGGTTTCATTTCATAAAAGATCTTCTTTAAGGAGCGTTTGGCTATCTGATTAAAAGATAAAATAAAAGAAATCCTAACGTTGTTAACTTACATTTCTCAAGTTCCACAAATCAAAAAACTCTCTCCTGCATCTTTACAGAACTCCAATCAGAAGCTTTCGCCTGTTTTAGCTTTTTTTTTATTTGGACTAGTTTCGTAGCCCAATATTAATTTATTTTAGCGTCTTTTTTTCTCGCGCTCCAAGCACCCGCGTGCGCGCACATACAGACTAGAAAACACGCAATCAGAAAGAGAGAAGACAGAACTTAAGGCAGAATAATCAGAGAGTTAAACCGCGCAGCACAGTTGATGCGCCGCTATGTGAAAGGGACAGGAAAGAGCAGGCAGCTGCAGCTACCAGGCAGAGAAGCTGCGAGAGGAAAAGAAGCGGCTGCTGTATAGTAAATTATAAACATGTTGCTCACATCCAATTATTGGTAGGGACAAATGGGTCCGTCCAAAATTTTGGTAGGGACATGTCCCTATGGTCCCTATGCAAACCTACGCCCATGCCTTGAACACTCGGACGTATCTCAATGGTAAAGTAAATTATTCTTATTTCAAAGGTTGCGTATATTAGCTGCAACATATGAATCAAGATGCTATGACCGATAATATGTGGTTGACAGACTACTGTTGATATATGATTGTCAGAATTTAGGTGTTCAGATTGACGTAAAAATAACTGGCCTGCATAAGATAATGAAAAAAAACCCAAAGAATTTTTTTTTAAATAGAAATTTTTAGAAATTGCCAGATATTTGACATTTAAATATGACCTCCCTAAGACCTTAAAGGGATAAACTATTTAAAGTTTAAACATCAAATTTTTTTGCTCCTAGTAATTCATGTCACAATTCTTTTCTTTAATGTTCTCCAACAAACCTTTCTTTTAGACTTCACTTAAATTGATTTGAATAACTGTCATGATTTAGGCATCTTTGAGTGTTGTTTATTATTCCTCCATGGTTTTTGACTGTGATCTTCAAGTATTGCCTTTTTATTTACTCTTGCAGCTCATCGTTTGCTTAGAGTTTCCCTTATTAGATTAAAGTTGAGTTATATCTGGAAGGTCTCTGTTTGTGTTTCCGTTCTCAGCCTCCTTAATCAGCATTATCCAGCCCACCTGCTCTCACTAATCAGCGATTCCTTGTTTTCACCTCTCTTATAATAGCCTCTTCATTCATTCAGTTGTCACAATAAGTTCTGTTTTCACACTGTACCATAATAATTCATACCTTTTTCTGAAGTTTTCTTTTACTCCATAGCTTCATAATAATGACTTCCACTCACTAGGCTGCCTCTGTCATCTCCAAGATCCACACATTCTGACAAAACATACAGGGCCGCAAACAATCATATATTTGAAATGGAGAATGTTTTGCTGAACTTTTCCCAATATATACTTTAAAATGTGACACAATGTGAAAACACAGCATTCATCCTCTGTTTGCATGCATGGTTTTATGCATGCAAACACAAACAGAGGATATCATGAAGCTGTTGATGTGTGAACTGCTTGCTAACAAGTGATTGATGGGGAACTGCTATTTTTGCAGATTTAGTGGAAGGACTGTTTGTAACCGAGGCTTCACGTCTCTCCTGGTATTCACTCCCACTTTCAGATTTATATCGTGAATGTCGTTTTTTTTCTACCCTTTTGTGGTCTGTCTGTATCCCCATCCTAGACATGATAAACTACACAGCCGTGAAGCATCACTGGAAACAGTGTCCTCTGCACCTCTGACACATAAAACTATCATAAAGTGAAAGCTGCAGGCTCCCTTAGTGTGAACAAGTTGCAGAACTTCCTGTTCGGTCTTTTTTTGGTTTCAGCACTATATTATTGTTTGAGGGGAGATTTGAATCAGGAAAGGCAAGGGCAATGACAAGTAAAGAAAGGCTTCAAGCCTTCCAACTTGAACTTTCCAAACATTGTGTGGGAGTGATGTCAGGGCATGAACAGATGATTACTGACCTTTACTGTAAGCCTGCTATGCTTACAGGAACAACACAGTATGCAAGTTTGATGGATTATGATGATAGCATGTTGACTTCAACCAATATTAGTGTCTAGGCACAGATCCACAGCCTGGGGGCAGTTTTACAAAGCAGGTTTAACAAACTCAGCCTCAAATTCTAAACTCTGGATTTATCTAGCCTAAGGTTGGAAACTGAGTTTTACAGTTTCATAAAAGCTGCTGTGAGTTAATGAACTCTGAGTAAATTCACTCAGAGGTGAGCAAGTGTGTAACAAGTATGAGAAGTCATTATTAGTAGAGCTCTGGTTCAACAAGTCACCATGATGGCAAACAAGAGGAAGTTGCCTATTTATAAACCACTGGAACTAGATATTTTAATGCACAAATTAAAACAAATTGGA